TTCTTGAAAGGTGCTAGGATATTGCCTTTAACAACATGGTTGGGATACTCCCACAACTCTTTGGTTAAAGAGGTTCCTCCTGTTTTGCAACAAGTCGACTGTCTCATTGCCCAAAATGAAGTGTGTATATTTACATCCATGTTTCAACTGTTTTTTCCCCCCAAGTGTACTTCTATCCACAGTTCTAGACACTCAATTTTGAAAAAACAGTGATAATATTTAACACGTTATTACTGAACTGTGGCCTTGTTGTCAAAACACCTGTGTTTTACAGCCTGGATTGCTTGTCCATTCAACAGTTGAATACAAAAGTTCAGACAAAGTTCTGAAATCACTGTTAAAATGGAAAATCATAGTACAGCTCCAGGGTCAAACCTTATTTTAAAAATGTCTTGCATTCCTTTCCAACCAAGCAATCCTACAGGGCTCCGAGCATTGGAGGAGACCTATTTCAACCACCACTGGAGTGCAGCAGAGGGAGAAATAGATTGACATTTAAGAGAGGCAGACTATAATAGCTTAGTGTGCAACTTAGGTCAGGCACCAGAGTTAACACCTTTGCTCTAATGAACTGGGATCTTTTGTTATGAGCTAATAAAACAAACAAACAAACAAAGTAATAGTTAGGGTTCAATGTCTCGTTTGAGAAATGGCACCAACAGTAGTTTCCTCTATCGCCGTGCTGTGGTATTGGATTAAAAATTCCGTCTGTCATGGATTATTCTCAAAAATAATTATCCGACACCGGAGCTTGCGAGTTCAGGATAGAGACGCACAAGCCGAGTTGGTCCCTGGAGCAACTGCCTATCCCAACTCAGGAGGTTTCTTTTATTCAGTTTCAATCTTACAAAACACTCCCTCTTGGCTTTGCGCCACTATTGTCTCCAAGCCTTGTCCATTCCTTCTAGGCAGCGTTTCCCCTCCTCTCTTATTCCTTTTATCTAATCCTATTGGTGGCAAGACCTCATTGGCTTTCTTAACAAAAAAAACATATGTATATGTTGTGAGGAGTACCACAAAGTATGATTGCCCAAGCAGTATGAGGTATCTTATAGTTTGCTTATGTGCGTGCTTCTCAAAGATGATTATACAGCCGCTTTCAGGCTCATCACAATTCTGTTACTTTTCATGCTTCATAATATGTGCGTCAAAAATCACCCATAGGTCCACAGGGAAGAACAGCACCAGGAT